TCAACATAAATGTGTATTTGACGTGTGATTGTTAATGGTCGATACCGGAAGTGTTATTGATCCATGTAACCTAAGTGTCACTGTCCTGAAAGTCTGAAAAAGTGATGAGCTGAAAGAAAGAACTGAAAGTATAGCACTTTTTTTTTCTTCTCAGTCTCTAAAGATTAAGGTTATTTTGAGCTAGTGTTGCATTTGACCTGTAGATACATCAGCAGAAACCTGCAAGCTTACCTTGCACTTCAAGGTTTTGATTGGTCAGATGTAAGACTGTCAAAGTTAATGTTTGTGATTAATGTGATTGTGTTCTGACTTATCAGACTTGGCAGAAATATAAAAGTTCCTGGTGTAGCAACCATTCATCACTAAATAAGGAAAAACACTTTTCATGGATTTTTTTAAAAGCGTCTTATCTGGGTTTATTTTATAAATAAGTAATTCGATTTTGTTGTGTGGTGAAATGTAATTATTGAAACTCAATATGTGTACAAGTAAAGCGTACAAGAGTGTAGGGCTGCAGCAAAAACAACTTAACACATGTAAGGATCAAGCAGGGGCATTGCACAAGATCCCGGGCCCTAGGCAGTCCTGATGGGCCCCCATGGCCCCCCCCCCCATACTATTTTAGTTTTTTAATCCCTACCCTACATGAACAAACTGCGTACTGTATGATAACCAAACAAGACTTGATTCAGTCATATTTTATTAACCCTAACCCCAACCCTAACAAGCTACCTATGACACTGATTAGCCTACTATTGCTAATTTTAGATATTATAGCCTATTAATTTAAAATTAAACATGTTTCAAAATTACGCTATTATAATGGTGTGTTGTATGCAAACAGCATTGTTAGTGTACAGTTTATTTATGTAGCCTTTACCTGAGATTACATGTATAACCAAATTGCCATCTGAAAGTGTATGTTCTGCTTTCAATGGGTTGTCTCAGTTCATTTTTAGCACTAACGATCGCGGATTCGCGGGGATATTCAAGCAGTTTAGCACTATAAATTTCGTGTTCTAGTTTGCGCTCACCTTTCTTTGAAAAGACGTCAGTAACCAATTGTTTCCCCTCATTTTGTTTTCTTAACTTTCTGTCTTTCCTTTCTTTTTTGATGGCCTGATTTGGCTTTCTTTGAGAAAAATATTTCTACAGCGCTGCACCAGATGCTCAACTAACATAAACAAGATGGACTAAACCATTTGGCGCATTAGCAAGGGGGGTGGGATCATGAAACCGTCAGTCAATCAACCAAGTTATTCAGCCAATACACAAAATTTACGTTTCATCTGACATTCATTATGAAATTTAATTAGGAAATGAAAATATCCAGGTAAAATAAAATATATTCCATACTTTTCAAGGGCCCTCTCTTCCTTTGGGGCCCTGGTAATCAGTACTGGTTTTACCCCCAGCCTGACGCCCCTGTCCATAAAGTGTGGAGAACGTTGTTTTATTATTCGATTTGATTTTCATTGGATTCAGTGTTTATGTTCCCAGTGCATTATCCAGTTTAGAGAAATATAGAACATGTTGGTTTTTATATGCATAAAAGTAATTATGCATATATTTGCACTTATATTATGAATCTTCACAAATTAAAGAAATTGAACAAAAAGCTAATAATTACATAGGCAGAACACTTAGGCATTGCACATATACTTTGGAAAAACTCTCTACAGTTTTTTTTATTTAATTTGCTAAAAATATGCCAAAGGTCACTCAAATGCAGAATCATGCTCAAACCTCATATATACTGTAAACATCTAATGTGTCCTGACAGCAGAATGTGTGGCACAGTGTCTGTACCACTGACTCATCCAATTTGACTCTGATACTCTTGGCAGGTTGTTAGTGTTGGCACTATTTTAGTCATCTGTCAATATTTAAAACTGGACATTTCCACCACAGGCATCCACAAAACTGAATGTTTTGTTTATTAGTTCAAAGCTTTAAATGCTTCAAAGGTACTTTTGCTAATTAGAGAGCTCTACTTCAATAAATTGTTAAGCTTATGAGCTAATGATATTTTTACTTATTAACTCAGGCTTTCCTGTTTGCAGGTTTCTGTGTGGTGTAGATTGAAAGTCTAAAATTGTTCCTGACTGTATTGAAAAAATATGTACAGCCGATAACTGTTTTCAGTGTGAAAAATGTGTTCATCAATTCATTGTTGTAAGTCTTTTTTTTTCTTAAAGCTTTTTTCAAGATGGCTTGAAGACGGCAGATAAGCTAAAGCAGTACATCGAGAAATTAGCAGCTGATCTTTACAATGTATGTACCTTGTTCTTTAAAAATTAAAAATTCCTTTAATTCTTTAAAAATATTTGATTTGATAAAACCTTTTTTGCTTACTTTGTTATGCATTGGACTTGGCAATAAAATATTTTATCAATATCTGGGTCACATTACAATATTTTGTTTAGTTTATAGTCATTTAAAACTGTTATTGCAATCTTTTACTTGTTTCTCTCAGAGCTGCATTACACATCTGTGTTGTGCACTGTTATATTCTTTCCTAAGATCTTTGGTCAACTAAAAATAATTGTGCATTGACTATTACTATACCATGTTTTACCTTGCTGGACTTGGTCTGAATGGTGGACAATCATTCATGTGGTCCAGTCTCAAAATATGAAAGTGAAAAATGCGACTACAAATATGAATTCTTAGCATTAGGATATCAAAACCTTATTACAAGGTGAAATATTGCGGTACTTTACAATAACGGGTTTATGTCCTGCACCCCTGGTACTGTATGTGTAACAAGTTCTTTTTGATTTTGTGTGTTGTAGATAAAACAAACACAAGATGAAGAGAAAAAGCATCTCACTGCATTAAGGGATATCATTAAATCCTATCTACAGCTGGACCAAAAGGAGGTAGGTGTAGAGTGTGGTGTGCCTCAGGGCTCTGTCTTGGGACCAATGCAAATTATCATTTAATTGCTCAAACGTCTATCAAAGGACTTGATTGGGATTAAATATTTCCAATGTTCATTACATTTACATATGTTAAATATAGTAAATCTATTCACTATTTAAAGTACTGTACACATGTAGAATTCTAATTAATCCTTTAATTGAATGAAACCCGAAGAGTTGAATTTTGCAGTACATCTGTGGATCTAATGTACAAACCCTCCCTAATGCTCGACCTGTACAGGGGAGAGTGTGAGAGGGAGTGCCCAGTGCTGTACCATGCTGGTAGCCAGTATGAAATTGGGCTTGCTGGTAACCAGTGTTGTGCCCCACTGGTTGCTCAGAGAAAAATTGCTTACTCTATCATGTTTAATAAGGAAAATAAATGACAATAAGTAGTTAGTCAATGAATATTTGTTTTATGTGCTAGGTGCCAACACATTGTCGTAACAGCAAGCTTGCATTTAATTATGGTAACATGCTGGGAGACAAGTCTGTAAGTTACTTGTTTGGCATCACATCACATGGTATCACGTAAATTTACCAAATACAGATTCGACACACACAGCTTACATGTACCATGCTTTTCACACCCTCTCCTATGTCTCTCTCACCCGCTTCCTGTATGGATTGAAGTCTAGAAGAGTAAGTGTTCAGCATGTACAGCATGACGTGTGAATGTGATAGAGATTGTCGTGTGTGTGCACATTAAATAAGTGGCTGTCAGATAAAGCTGATGTTTAAAAGGTTACAAATCTGTTGAGAAATATTCAAAAATCTTCATGTCTTTTACAAAAATGCTGTGTATGCAGTATCTGTTGGGATCAGTGACTGCATATAGCTGTTTAAAGCACCATGTGTATGTGTGTTTGTACTTGAGCAGGACTCTCAGAGTAAACAGGGTGGCTACAGTATGCACCAGCTGCAGGGAAACAAAGAGTTTGGCAGTGAGAAGAAAGGCTATCTGTTGAAGAAAAGTGATGGGTACACGCGCGC